TCAGATGGATAATTTCTGACTGATACCGATGATTACAATTTACTTTAATCTATCTATTTAAAAATATCTATTTATACAATAATATAATTTAATCACCGATATTGACGAGTGAATTATATTGGCGTATATACTTAATATTTAAATCCATTTGTGTATTTATCGAAAGTTTTTGTCGAAAATTGCTCGACGAAAACGATTCAATGGAAATTCGGACATTTCTGCCAAGTCAGTGGTTTGACGAGTTGTTTGAGAGAGTGTCCGAGTATTCGCGTGAGCCGAGTCACGTAGGCTCCTGAGTACGTTCTCATGATTTCGGGTCAACGCCGCTCTGATGAGTCCCAGGCCCCTGAGGACGATCACGTAGATCTGTTAGAACGACGTGTGAAGGATCGCGTATCACGTTACCGCGAATGGGAACGAACTCGCGAAGATGACTCATTCTTCCGAAACGCAGTTTCTCTCTTGCACTAGTTATCTCGGAGACATCGCGTATCCAAGCATTTACTTCATGTTGCGATATATAATATTAATTTCTCGATTAAATTAATTTTCACATTTTAATCACGTAATTAATACGTAATTAACGCGTAAACTTATTTAGGCCCGGTTTTTCGTTTTCTGATTAATTCGTGATTTAAACTTAACTTGATGATAATGTAAAAATTGTGTTTTTCTAGATGTGATTAATCATTTAACTGATGATGTGTGTTTTGTACTTTTAAAATTACAATTAAAATTATTATTAGTTTAATGAATCATAGCTAGAAAAACACAATTTTTACATTATCATCAAGTTTAAGGTTAAAAGTTTAAGTTAAAAAAACAAGTTAATCAGATAATGAAAAATCAGAAAAACCGAGTCTTATTTATCACACTTTGCAAATCAAAGAGTGCAGAAAAGAAAAATAAATTTCAAGATTTTTTTGTTTTCTAAAATCGTTCAGAAATTCTGCGATTATTTCATTGTATGAGCTGTAATTACGAGATTTACTTAGATTTCAGGAGGAATAATAACTCAATCTCTTAAATTCAATAATATTTCGCTATTTATAATTCCCGTGTATATCAAAATGTAAATCAATCCATTAATTTATATGATTGTAGTTTCAAAGTAAACAATATCATATTAATGTATGCATTTAATAATTAATAAATTAAATTTGAGATTAACGTATACATTTAGTAAATCATAAACTAAACTTGAGTCAAAGTGAGTTACATTTTTTTTAGTTCAATGGTTCAACTTCATTGTTTCAGTTAAATTAACGACACATTGAATTGGAGCAATGACAACCAATAGAAATGGTTAAAAATAACTTAAATTGGGTGTAATTCTTTTATCAGTAAATTTAACACGCACCGCAGAAATAATATCGATAATTTAACGCTAGAACATACAATGCCATTCTTGATCACAAAGTAACATTATCTTCTTATCAATATCTAAATTATCTAAACTGATATCGCTCCGATAGTTTAGACACCAATAAGTATTGTAACATTATTTTTCGATCAAGCGTGACATTGAACGTTCTAGCATTGTTCATGTTATTAGTTCTGCTGCGCATAATACATTATCCTATTATACGATTTCAATTAACGACAAGAAAGACGTGACGACGATATTCATTGTGACAGATACGACCCTGATCTTGACCGAGCGACGTATTCATTAGGGCTCGTCCAATTTAAATAGAACACTCGGGCCACGCGAGTTCGCAGGACACTGACCCATTTCTATTCGCGTCGATGAAGAAGGCAAAAGAGAAGATGATTATTTTTAGAATATCAAAAATGATTGCAACAATTCCAAAAAAGAAGCAAAAAATTAACACTTTTTTTATAGCACAAAATTTATAAGCTGTTTTACATTTTCATTCTCTTCGACTCCATTTCTGTTCTCCGAAGAACAATTAAGATTTTTTGTTAAATTCGCTTTGAAATAACTCGCTATTCACTCCGAGATTTATTCGGTTGCCTCTGGAATTAAATACTTTATCATGTTAATAGGTCGAACTATTTATGGATGATTTCCGGGAGTCGGAATATACGTGAATAAATCATACAGTGATCGAAGATACCATTAGACGTTTACACGAAAACAGCATTGCAATTAAAATTTACTAAATTTTAATGCATATTTCTTTGAATAGTACTAACTAAACATTTACTTACAGCAAATAAATAAAATATTTATTTTAAAAAATAATAGTTAAATCAAATGGTTTTTGTATCAAATAAATATATATTTGTATTTAATAAATATTTACTTAAAATTATTCAAACAAATATTTATTAAAATTTAGTATTTTTTCAGTATAAACTCATGTGCAAAAAGCAAAATAGAAGTTTACACAGAAGTAAAAAATAAATGAAAATTACTTTACAGTGTTAATAAAGAAATCCAGAAATTACAGAAACGGTATCTAATTTCTCATAATACGACGAGGGAAACTGGAGACCGTAATCCGAGCCGCGGATAAATTTAGCGTTGCAGTCTTTATAACGTCGAATACTTTTTGCAAAACATTATTTTATCTCGCGATTCATATCGCCGAGAACGACACCTGCTATTGTTAACGTTAAAAAGATACGACTTGTAATTCAACACGAGCGAGAGAAGACACGTGTCGTGGAGAAGAAACAGATAGGAAAAGAAACAGATAGGATCGCGATGCAACCATAAGATGAAAACAGGTGCCTATGTCTTTTTTCGTCGAAGAAATCTTTTATCGACCAGACGACACTTTGCAAAACAAACAAAGATAAAGATTGCAGTAGTAAAAGTATATACGCGTGCCGATTCAAGTGGCTTTCGTACGTGAGATTCACATGGCAAAGTGAGTAACGAAACAATTTAAAATTAATTGGTAAAATGAGCTCTCTACATAATTCGACTTAAAAGATACAATTAAAAGATTTTATAAACAAAAGCGCAGATAAAATTTAATTAAGAAATGTAAAGATTTTATTATCTCAGTAATCTCGGCATATAATAATAATCTTAGCAATTACGGTTTGAAATTTAATTAGGGGAGCAGAACAAAGACTATGAAGAGAACGTATTGAATAAATTATTTCTTATAGAAATCATTACAAAAATGATAAAGTTATTTACAAAGTCTCGCATTTTTTTATTATTACCAGCATGTTTTATGAAATATTATAATAGAGCCTCTTTTACTGTAAAAGGATAACCACAGAAATATCGGCTTTCTCGCAGTCTAAAGTTTCCTGAGGAAATTATAAAACCATATTACGAGACTGTGTAAAAATTGTAAAAAATATTGGCAGGTTCTACGAAAATTTTTTCGCGCGAAGCGCGCAATTTTGACTATGGAATTAATTTTGCGAGTTTGTTATCAAGTTTCTTTTTCTTTTAATTCAATCAAGTACAAAATAAATGTTTATTAAATCTAAAAATATATTTATTTGGACATAGAAAGGTCATTTTGCTAAAGTATGTAAAAATTTAGCTAGATTCAAATTTAAATATAACTTCGTTAAATCGAACAAATTATATAGGATCCTCAAACTAATTGCTAGAATGTTAAAACTTTCTGCTCATCATGTTCGAAATTCGTATATTTTTAAATATTTTAACAAAATCGTTTTTCCCTTGCAAGAACTATTAATTTGATTTAACAATTATTTTTTTCTGGAGTAAATATTTATTTACTGTAAGTAAATGTTTAGTTTACTATTCAAATAAATATTTATTAAAATTTAATATTTTTTTTCACGCACAAGTCATTTCTCTTAAATTCTTGATAAAATAATCATTGATAATTCACGACTCCTTTGACACATATATATTGAAACGTTCTCTTATCTTATCTTATTTTATTCAGCAAATGCGGAAGAAAAAACGGAAATAATGCATAGAAAGTAATTAAGTCTTTGATTTACAAATATAATAGTTATTATTGAACATTTCCGTAAATGTCCGTGCTATTTTTATTTCCGAATAAATATAACACGATTAAATCGCATTGCTAACCACAAATATTTTATCTATAATCTGTTTATACGTATATCAAAGGAAGCGGATATACAATAAAAGATATTTGCATTTATTTACTTGGGAGCAAAACATTCTATAATACTATAAAGAAAATAATGAAATTCCGTAACACTTTATTAAAAAAAAAAATAATCAAAAAATAACCGAAGATAAAAATCTAAATATAGAAAAGCGTATATCGAATGTATCGAAAATATAAAATGTACAAAAGAATTTCATAGAATTAAAAAAAATCAGATTCTAGATGTCGAGAGGGATACTTCTTAAAAAAAAAAAAAAACTAGAAGAAAATAGCGTATCGAGAATGTAGAATGTAAAAAAACAAAAAAATTAAATGAAATAAGAAAAAAACTGAAGGTATCGAGAGGCAGCAGGCATTGTTACTTCCACGAGAAGCGCGTGACGGGACTTTACAAATCCGGCGTATTTCGCTTGGTCCGCTTCGTCTCGCTCCCCGTGCAACTTCACGCGAAGCTCCGGCCGGGGTATGAAGTATCGATTTGCGCGCGCGAGACATGAAAAATTGAATCTTGCACCGGGCGCGACGCGGCGCGTTGAAAGTAGGCCCGAAATGGCGCCAAAACTGCGCCGCGACGCGTGGCGTCGCGTCGCGCCAATTTATTTCGGATCCAACGGATTGCTCCGATTATCGGAGACGCGCCAAGATCGTCAGATAACGAAAGTGAAAATTTATCGGAGGAACAATTGTTCTCCAAGGATGTCATTGAACGGCAGCGAGACATCAATCGAATCTGATAGTCGCTTCTTCTCGACGTTAACGCTCCAGAAAAACGAACGGAGCAACATCGGCGATGAAGTACGTTTGTTTACGCTTTACAGGAAGTGAAGGAGGACAAGAGGCAGGCGGGCGGGCGGGTGGGCGGACACGCACATCGCGCGAAATGGCCGTCGCGTCTGACGTGTAGATGATCGGTGCGGCGCGTATGGTTTTTTTAACTTTTTGCGCTTTACTTACCGCTCAGCTGCTCGTCCGACGTGTACTTCGCCGAGGACGACATCGCCGTACGATGCGCCGTGTATGGCACTCGTTGGAGTGTAATCGCTCGCGATGAGGAAATAGAAAGAAACGGAGCTAAGGGGCGAGCGAGCACCAGAAACGAGACGCCAGAAACGCACGTAAACGTATAGTATAATATAGTATATGTGCGCGACAGGACGCTGACGACGCTACAACTCGACTCGAGCAACGATACAACGCAACCTGCCGCTACGGACAATCGCGATAAAATGCTGCCGGGAGGGCAGCGCTGCCGTGCTTTGTTTTGACGCACGTCGGCACGCGCATGTGTCAGTTGCGCCAGCCGTCTCCAGCCGTCTCCACTTCGGAGTCGAGCCAATCACGTCGCGCCGCGGTGTAAATAGACCGTGTGAGTCGACGTGACGATTCGCGTGCGTGGTCAGCGTGATGCGATGCACTCGGCACTACGTGCGTCAACCTGCGTCAACCTGCGCGCCGTCTCGGCCGGTCGGCTGTCGGCGTCGCGCGACTCATCGCCGCGCGTACTTTCGAGAAATAAACGTCGTGTCATTCCCCTCCCGCGTAAAAAAAAGAAAATGGAAAAAAAAGGAGGAATTCCTCCGAGCGACGCGATGATTCGCGATCGCTTCGATCATTTGCGATTTGTCGTCGGGGCCGACATCTGTCGGGGATAAAGGCGCCACAATAACTTCGTATCTATTTTCCTCTCATCGTTCGTTGTACGGCTATATAATTAGCATTACAATTGGATTACTCTACATTGCGAAAATAGTGGTAATAATAACTCTATCGAATATATGAGAGAGATAATGGTATATTAGGTGTAGTAAAAAGAAATCCATTATTTTTGCATGAAATTGAATGGAAAAATAATGGATTTCTTTTTACTACACCTAATATATAGGCAAGTAGCAATAAATAGACAATGCTATAGACAGTAGATGTTATATGTACAATAAATATTTAAATATATATATACATCACCTAATTAATAAACACAAATGATTAGTGGCTAATGCAATTTATAATAATATTATATTTCTAACATATCCTATTTCTAATTATTTAAAAATGTGATTTTTGAATAAATAATTATATTTAATTTAAATATATTACTATACTACTTATACTTTAAATATATTACTATATTAATTTAAATATATTTATTTATTACATAGAATTTAAAGTAAAATTCTTCCTTTACAAAATCTTTATGTGCAATTTTTTAATTAAATTTTATTTCACTAATTCATTCATAATTATAATGTCAAAATCGATAAAATTAAGACACCGGCGGAATATTTTTATTTTTCGCGAAGCAAGTAGCCTCGCGTTTCCGATTTATCGACAGACGTTCCTCAGCGATTTCGTCATCTCTCGCGACATAATCCTCGGGACTCTCGAAAGAGAAGTATCCGAACATCCGCGATAGGCGGTCCACTGGTGAAAATTCGGAGTAATCGGAGTTTTACCAGCGCTCCCGCTGTGGATTTTAACAACAACGCCGGTGGCAGCACTGTGCGATCGCTAATTTGCGTTGAACGACACGTATTTCGGTACGTGTCCGTGAACTGCGTAAATCACGCGCATATTTCGCGTAACGACCACAAACGATCGACGGGAAGGTGAACGAAGGACGTAGAGCGAATCCGAGAACCCTTTTATCACAGAAGAAGGTACGTTCCGCGTGCGTGATCAAGTTCGATAGGGAAAACGGGACCGTCTCCCTGTTACTCCTTGGGAGGGTAATCCGGGCCAACCGTCGTTCGATAAACAATAAGGGGAACGAGAGAGCGAGAGAAAGATAGACAGAGAGAAGAAAGCGAGAGCACGAGAGAGACGCGCCAATCCGTCCGATTTCGATACGATACGAGTACGATACGCGCTCGCAAATATGGTCGCCCGTGCGACCTCATCTGTCAAGTGACTAGGACGATTCTCGCGCCGTGCGTTCTCGCTATGTGCCGTTAGCGAGAGGAGCGAGGGAGAGAGAGAGAGAGAGAGAGAGAGAGAGAGAGAGAGAGCGAGCGACATCGAACTGTCTCGGCCGCCGGGCCGCCAAATTTCAGGTAAACACTCCGGGGGGGTAATAAAGAATCGCTAGAAAAGCCGGATCGGTGGGTCACCGTTTCCATATGTGCGAGAGTTCGAGAATTCGCGATTTGTTAACCCAAAGCTCCTCCGCGTCCCGGCTCGAGGTTGCGCGCGGCACTCTCGCCTGACGTCGCCTCGAGCCCTCCGCCCGTCAAAGGACCGGTGGGAGCATAATCGAAATTGACCATTCGAGGGAGTATCTTGTTTACAAGCGGAGTGTTCGTTTGGAGAATCACATTTCAACACTATCTGAACTGTTTATTTATTTCTGAGCGGCTGTCGATAGAAACACGGCGGCTCCGTGTGTCAATAAAATTGTTTTTAAGTTTCTTGATGTTATCTTTGACGACGATGTTGAGCGGAGTGAGACGCTGATAACAAGAATTTATAGGTAATCAGCAGACACATCGTTCACATACTGGCTATGAAAATGAAGATCCCAAACGGCGGGTCTGGAAACGGGACTTATTACGGACAAGAGACAGGCATCACTTCCTATGTGGACAACAACAGCGACACGGAGGCTGAGGTGCAAGCGATAGGCGATGGTGATTTCTCAGAGTACCTCTGGATGGAAAATGAAGAGGAGTTTGATAAGCAGGTACCTTATTTATAGATATAAAGCTTCTCACAGTTATTTTTTATTCTGCACTCGACGTTTCTATCGGCGTCAGGTGCTCCAACAACTGGAAGAGGAAGAATTGATGGAAGAGTGCTTAGAAGCGATGCTAGAAGAAGAGAGGCAACATCAAAGAAATATGAGTTCTACTGCTTGGTCCACGGCTACTGGCACTTCCGACAATAATGCTGCTGAACTTTGTCAACAACTAAGCAGTCTGAGGATGCAAGATGATCTCGCCAAGCAGGTACCTGAAGAAATGTTTCTCTTCTTTTAAGTCTATTCTACATTGTGTTTTTGCCTTCTGTTTCTTGTTTTTTTATTATTTTTTACTATTTTACCTCTAATTTCTTTGTTTTCTGTTGTCTAATAAAAACTTGACAAACTTTGAAAGAGATGGGAAACATAATTGTCAATAAAACAATCGCAAAGAGGAAAAAAAGCAAGAAACAGAAAACAAAGAGCACATTATGCTTTAATGAGAGAAAGAGAGAGAGAGAGAGAGAGAGAGAGAGAGAGAGAGAGAGAGAGAGAGAGAAAGATTCTTTATTTAAACTTTTAATTAACAATTGCCGCTTGTACATGTGAATTTCCAGAGCACGCTAAATCCAGATGCAGCTGAATTTATTCCAGCGTGCAAATCGACTGTGGTATCACCTGTAAGTACATCATCAGAAACCACAGTCACTACAGAACCATCGTAGAAATCTTCTATGTGTTTTCTCTCTTGTCCGTTCTCTATTTAAGTCACGTATAAAATCGGGCTACACGTAATGATTAGAATTTACTATTTCCAATCCGACAGTCGTATTAAATGGATCATCGTGTTAGGTGTTCAATGACTGTGACTGTAGGTACAAAGAGAGAGATAAAGGGCGCGAGTTGTGCATGTAATTATGCGCGTCATCCGAAGCATCAGTTACACAATTAGATGGAACGATAACGCGGTATCCCGAAACTTTTATAGACAAGAAACACGTTCACGTGTATCATGTGGGACAATTATTTTTTTGCCAAAATACTAAAGAACGATCGCTTTTACAAATCACTCGTTAAAACAAATTTGCAATTTGCATCTCTTGTTCGATGCCATCTACATTGAGAATCGTTTCTCGCGGAGGCACATGTTTTTAGCATTTTCAATCTTTGTATAATTTGTATAAATTGAAATCAATCATGTACGTTTACGGAAATAACCCACTGTTCAAGTTAAACTGAATAGAGGGAACAAAATGCACTGCATGGTTAAGGAAAGGACTTTCATAAGTTTATGAAATATGTATATGAACAGGAATATAGATATACATATATTATTCTGTAAATTATGTTCATATCTTATATATAATATATATAATATATATGTATATATA